CTAATTTCTGCATAGGTGACGACCCAATTGATAGAATCATTTCACAAACCAAATGAAACTGAAACACCCTTGAATTCACATCTTAACACAAACAGTTAACTAGTTATCCATGAATTACGTTTTCGATATTTTTCTTTAAAGGTATATAGATGGCATAACATCCAGGTTTCCAGGCCAAATAAACATCTGCTCTGAACTCATTTTCTTTCGAGTCCACCACCAAAGCTATAAATTAAAAAATAAAATAATACTACAAAAGCTCGCCTTAATACTAAAAAGAAAACCAAACTAACTATTTCTCAAGAGGATAGGCCTAAAGCCAGTGTCGATTCAAATTCACCATCAAATCTACATAACAAAACTCAACCAAAAAAAAATTAAAAACAAAAAGAAAACGACCATTTATTAAAAGCAGACATAAAATCACTATTCCTCAAGAGGATAGCCAAGAATTTAAAAATGAAAGGAAGTGGGTCTTACCAGTAAAATCAACTGAATCAGCAGCCGAACTCAATCATTCAAATATAACAAGTAGTTGAGAAAAAGGGAAGTGGGTTTTCAATAATATGTTGAACCAGAGTGTCTAGCCACTAATCCGCTGCTATTTTTACGGCTTTAGAGCAAAACTAGGCATTGCCATTACTAAATAGGTCCTGAAAAGCGTAGAAATAAAATATATCGTTCTTTTCAAAGGAAAAGACAATGTAAATCTTCTCTAAAAGAAGAATAAGAGTTAAAATAAAAAGTGCAAAATGTCCATGACTTTTGGGGTGTGTTTGATAACTTTCTCTGCAGTTTCCCTGGGATTCTTCTAGCAGCTAACTTTCCTCGAATCTGGGAGAAAGTGAGAATTGGTCTGAAAGCTGGGAACCTTGTTTCATAAACTGCGATGCTGCTATTTTCGAGTGTTTGGTAATGTTGATGCTGGGAAGCACGAAACAGCCTGATTTAACCGTTCATTATGAATTTCCATTATTTGATGATGTGTGTAATGTATATTTTTTAATAAGAATACATTAATAAGATTTTCTTGCTACTACCTAACTAATGCATTTCTTACAATGTATGGTTAAAATTGAAATTTAATCTCACATCTATGTAACTTAAGAAATAGCCTCAATAAAATTGCAACAAGTATAAGGAACCAGAGAGGTGGAGTTAATCACACAGAATTCTTAAGCCAAGTGAAACTAAAAGTATGTTCCCAATCATGATACTTCCGCAATTTTTATATATGTGAAATCAACGAGCAAGAGACATGAAAAATAATATAGAGACTAAAAGAACTAAATTGCTTATGAATATTACAAAGCAAGAAAAACATCAATAAATTAGAGAATTCTTAAGCCTCGATATTTTACATGATCCGGGCGGGTTAAAATTAGAGAAGTATTACAAATAATTTTACTACAAGAACAACATCAATAAATTGCATAGCTAAATATACTAATCTCAAAACTTTGAATGCTTGGTATACAAGCATAACACAACATTGTATGTACCGAATAATATGTATTATCAAACTTACAACTTCTTTTTTGTTTTGCTGTTGTGTTCAAACTTACAACTTCCAAATTGAATTATATGACAAACATCCCAGTTCAATCTAGAATGATCTTGTCACATACATAATTAAGTAAACACAGTTAAAAATTTCAATTTCACAGCTTTCTATTACCCAGTGAGAGATAATGTCATTCAACAACAGCATAACAAAATTAAAACCCATAGCAAAAGTAACTGGAAAAACCCAAGAATATATCATTCTGCAAAAGATATTCCTCCATAACTTTCAACCCAATAAGTACAAAAACCAAATAACAGAAAACACCCCATAAATTATATAAGCAAATGACAATAAAACAGAACCCGGTTTTACAACCTCCTAAATAAGCTTTCATCAATAAATAAAAATAAAAAGAATAAAAGAATACTTAGATTATTAACTCATAAAACCAAATGAAAATTAGTTCAATGACACACCACAAAAACAACATTAACAATGATAGCAACAAAGATCAATTAATCAAACACCTAAAGCCCAAAAAATTTTACATAGTAGATACAAAATCAAACTAATCAAACTCTCGAGCCCCAAATGGTACTTCTCAATAAACAGAAAACCCACATCAAAATTTATGTGACAAACTAGAAAAATAAAACATAAATGATAAATAAACTCTGCGAATATGGGGGTATTCTTCTCTGTGTGTAACCAGTTTTAAAAAATAAATAAATAAAAAATCAAATAAAAAATCTCTCTGTAGGCTTGGGATTAATCTTGTTTGAGATTAATCAGAAAAGCAAGAACGTAAATCAGAAATAAAATCTCATTTAGATCTGGGATTGTATTTGTTGAGCTCTAAAAAATTAAAAAACTAAAAGGACTCACTGTAGCTTTCTCTGCGCTCTTAGCTTGCAGCAATAGGGGCGATGAGGGGAATAGACCTGAGACGAGGAGGACAGGAGTTGCGGGAGGGTTGACCTTCGTTGGGGCGAGTGGCAATGGACTATTGAGTTGCTAGGGTTTTGAGTGAGAAAGGGTTAGAGAGATGGAACCAGGGTCCCCGGCGTTGATGAACGTTTTCCCGCCCGGATGAGTTCTTGCCCGTTTAACTTTCCGTGAAAGTTGTAGAGCCGGGTTACCCATGTTCCGCAACTTTCCCATTTGAAACAGCATTTTGGGGAATATGGTGGCTTCGACTTTCGAATTTTTTTTCTGTTTTCAAACTAGGGAAAGCTATATAGTTGATGAGAAGTCGGGGACTTTCCCAAAATATTCACCGTTATCAAACGTCCCTTTACTGGTTTTGGTGTGTGACCTCAACCGATGAATAGCACAATGTACGCCGCCCACCCATTTTCGTGGGATGAAATCGGACGGACAATAAATACCTTAACATGTAACCCCTTGGCTTTCGAGCACCTGTACTATGTGTTTTTTAATTTGAAAATTTGGAAGCTATTTATGATTATTATAAACAAAAAAACAAATTTGAAGTTTGAGTTTTCGAACACTTAGATCTTACTATCTAAAATTTGGATGGTTCCTATTCAATCGAGATATTTTCTTTTTAAAAAAGTGCTTAGATATTGCAATTAGGAATTTTTTTATTGAAGTTGTTTGATACTTTCTTATTAGTTGTGTTAATGGATCGGGCTGAGCGAACGCATAGAGTAAAATGGCTATTGGACCGAGCCGGGCTTTTAACGTGTGGCACGGAAAACTCCCTTTTTAACACAACGGGTTGGGTTGGCCAGTAAAGCAGAATATGTCACAGCCCGGCCGAAATAAAGTCCGGTCCATTAGAGCTCTCTCTCTCTCTCTCTCTCATTTTGTTTTTTTTTTTTGTACTCTTTTTGATGTATAAGGAGATCTTTTTGTGAATATTTGGGATATATATTTATGAGTCTCTCTTTTTGTGGCTAGCTTGAATATGTACTTCTAGCCTCTTTCAATGTCATGAGGACTACGATTATCGGGCTTTTAAAGGGCTGGTCCAAAAGGCCTGAAAACATTCTTGCCCTTCTCTTCTTGAAATGAGTTTTGGAGAGACCAAATAAACTAGAAAATGGGTTTTTAGAAAGATAATGGATTTTCATACCAAATAAATTAGAAAATAGGTTTTGAGAAAGAGAATGGATTTTGAGAGAGAAAAAGTGATGGGGCTTGATGTCATGTTGATGAGAGAGAAAACTGAAAACCGAAAATTGAACTATGAGAGAGAAACGCCAAAAAGGTCTGTACTCAACTGTTTCTTTTTTTGTAGTATTTTTTTTTGTCAATGCTTTAAAGGGGTTTTAATTTTATTTTAAATTAATTAGCAATTTTTTTCCGTACTTCAAATAAAAAAATTCTGGGGACAAAGATTTAAAAAAAAGAAAAAAGCCCAGGCTTGGTTTGGGCCGGGCCTGGCCCAATAGGCATGACGAGGACTTTACAATCCCGGCCGGGCTTCTGCATACCCTTTTGGGCATTTTTGGGCCTTACCCAGGGCAGGCCTGACTTTTGTACAAAATTTGAGGTTTTGTCACGCCGGCTCTTACTGGGCATATTTCCAAGCCAAGCCTTATGGGGCCAGCCCGAGCCAAATTCGGGCTTCCCGAGCCTCATGTCGGGCCAGAACTCTCGGGCTGGTCGAGTTGGCAGCCCCACTTGCTATTAACTCCAGTACGATTCTACTACACTATTCTTGCATCCACTACGTAAAAGAGTTGCTTTTTTTAAGACCCAAATATTGACATTTGAACCCCTCTCTTTTTCGTATCAAGCTCCCACTTTTTCTTTTTAAACCAATCCGGTCCGACACAAAATATGTTGGACCAGCACAATTTAAATATAGAAACTGGTTTGGCACATTTTGTGATGTACCGTCACAATTTTAATCTAAACCACTTCAACACATTTTAAAGATCAAAAGCCGGTCATCACATTATGGGAGAAAGAATGTGGGTTAAAATGAAGGTATTTTGGTAAAAAACAAAATCATTTTTTTATCTTGAGGGGTGGATTTAAAACTAAATAGTTTTGAGATTGACAGTGTAATATTAAAAATATTTTGGGAAAGAAAGGGGAGGTGTTGGGGGAACGTATGCCTAAAAAATACAATTTTAGGGTATATATAAATTTTTTTTTATTTTATTTTTTTTAAAAAAGTTCATACAATAATGTTAACTTATATTCTTGAAGTAAAGTGCACCGTAAATATCTAATAGAAAAGAGTGTTTTGAAGTTAAAAAACCTCCATCTTAACCTCAAGATAAAAAAGGGAAAGTATATAAAGATCGCCATGCTTCTTTTCTCAAATTCATGCCAGCTGTTTTACTCAAATTTTATTGTTTGATTCCTTGAATGTATCATTTCATCATCATCTTCAAATACTATATAAGCAACATGTTATATCTAGATATCAGAAATAATGGACCATATGAACAGCATTTTGCATCAAATGCTCTTTGAATCAGCATCAAGCAATGGGTTTTTTATAAAGTAGTAATAAAAAAACAGTTGTTGAGTAAGATGGAATGTAGTATTTATTTTTTTAAACTATTGTAAACCAAAATCATCACAAGAAGATCAGTCTAAACCCACAAAAAAGAAAGAACTAAAAAAAGTCAATATAAAAATTATCAAAGACAAAAAATTAGAGGCATAAGACCTAAAAAAAAAAAAATGTGTCAGCCCGGCTCTATATCAAGTTGCCGGACTGGCATATTCTGTACCGGATAGTAGATGATAGAGAGAGGAAGTGAAAAACATGGCCTAAAAAGATGATTATTTAGTCCAAAGAAAACTTATTTTTTTCCTTTGGGGGTGGCCGTGAACATAACAAATTTAGGGTTTAGGAGATTGGTTTACAAAATATTTGGGGGTGGCATCCTAACAAAGTAGGTTCAAGGGTAGGTGCCTATAATTTTTCGTAATAATATATCATTTTTAGTTTTAAAATTTTTTCTTTTTTTTTTTACAAAATAATGATCTTTATGTTAGAGATTGTATATTCCTTTAGAATTATGGTCAAATTTTATTTCAAAAATGGATCCCACATGTCCACATATGAGTTTGGGCCCTTTGGGGACTCGTAGAAACCATGTCCTATTTTAAAAGACTTCAAATTAAAATTTGGTGGAGAATCAAATGGATTCTAAACTTGTTTTTAAATTAAAAGTTACCATAGAGAGTTAATAGAAATATACGAGAGATCGTAGAGACAATATGATCCCAAAGGAGCATAAAATCTTTTTGGGCCTTAAACAATAAAGAAACGAAAATAAAATATTTTTGCGCCTTAAACGAAAATGGACAAAAAACAATTTGAACCCGACGTGAATCGAACACGCAACCTTCTGATCTGGAGTCAGACGCGCTACCATTGCGCCACGGATCCTTTTGATTAAATACATGAAGACATTAAATTTTAAACAATTCCAAAAACAAAACAATTACTACGCTTTTATTGTTCACCTTTATACGTGGTGATCTCGTATCCAAATATTGACTAGGGAAATAAGAAGTGAACCATTGATTTTCTTACAAGTTTCAACGAATACCATTTTACTGTCAATAAATAAATAATAATAATAATAATAAAAAGGAAGAAATGAGCCTCGGAGTGGATCATAGTAAACTGGGTTTTAATCCATAACTTTTTGAGTTTTGATTCTAGCTGCAACTTGTATCAATGATTTCAACTAAACAATTGCCATTGGGTTTTTCATATTTTTACTAGCTGTATTGTTTAGGTATGCCTTTTGGTTCATTGGAGAGCAACAAATTATTTTTACAATCGCGTTATCGCTTCCATTAGGTTTTGCAGTAGCAATGTTTTAAAACCTCGATCAATGGAATGGATTGTTCGCCTACAAATCTGTGTTGAATGATTGGATCGTTTATCTAAATTGGGATTGGATCGGTCTGAATGGGTGGTCTAAAAAATATATAAAAATAAATATAATAAAATAAAATTTAAATAAGAATTTATTAGGTGGGAATTAAAGGGACCTAAAAAATACTATATACAATGCTACCTATAGGTTGCATAGTGGAAGAATACTTCATCATTACACCTCTAATGAAAGATCTTCCTTTCCTTTCCTTTAGGTGGATATATTTGACACCATAGCACGCTATGTTTAAAAAATATATTTTTAAAAATTTAAAATAACTAAATTACACCCATTATTTTCAAGATTATTTTAATCATTTTAAAATTTAAATATTTGTTTATACCGTTTTCTTGTGAGCCCTATTTTTAATACATACGCTCAAAGTGACATCTTGATGTGATTTGTAAAAAAAGTTAAAATGTAAATAGTGATGTAAATTTTAAACCATCTGATCAAAGATCCGACGTTTGTGAATCCACATATATTCATTATAGCTACAACCTATTGATAGCTTTTTTCTATATATAAAAAATATTTTTTTAAAATTAAAAATAACCAAAATGCCCTTCAAAAATATTTTTTAAAGTTTTATATGGTGCGTTGTGGTGTCAAGTATATATGCTTAAAATTTTAGCTTAAAATGATTTGTATAAAAAAGATTAAAATGCATCTGTTCCCCTTTTTTTTTTATCTTTATCTTATTTGGTTGTATTAGACCCAGCCAAGCCAACCCAAACGCTTAGCATGCCCTAGGGTCGCCTCAGCAGCGGGCTCGAGTAAATGTTGTAGTGACCAAGGTCGGGCTAAAGCCAAGGCTAGCCCGGCTAGTCAAGGCCCAACTCATTGCCAGCCCTAACCCTAGGGCTGCCTCATCCTAGTCTTAGACGGGCTCGGGTAAATGCTATAAGGACCAAGGTCAGCCCAAAGCCATGGCTAGCGGGGCCAGTCCAGGCCCGACTCATTACCAGCCCAAACTTCGATTGCGTAGGAGTATTTCTCTTTTCTTAGGGGCACTTCCATAATTTTTAAATTTGCAATGACCTCGGATCTGTGAAAACTCTCCACTCTATAATTGGGGGGATATGCAAATTGGGTGGGGTTTGTATAAGGCCGAGGCCCTAAACAAGCAAAATACGACTCACCTTTAAATAGTACCAAAATATATTCTTTTAGCATCATAAATCTTTATACTTAAAAATTTATTTCATATCTAATTATTAAATTTACAAATGCAAAAATCATAGAGACTAAGCTGATCTATGAACACTTGAAAATTTTAAAAACTGGCGGTCTAGATAATATGTTACAAGATGCATTGTTTTCAAGACTTAAAACATATGTTTTCTCATATTTATACATCTTGAGATCGAAATGATTGAATTAAGGGTTTTTTTAACCTCGAAACCATTCCTTCTACTAAATTTTTGAAGTGCGTCTTAATTTGATTGTTTAGAGCCTCACCCTTATATCCCAAGCATATTATCTTTTTGGGTACAGGTGGTTTGTGCGAAATATTTATCCGAAAAAGAGTTGCCAGCCGACGACCAGATTTTCATGTCAGTCTTTCCAAATCTAGCGATTTTTTATCCAAATTGTTGATTCGGATGGGAATAAGTTAGAACTGGACTGGTTCCCCTTAAATACCACCCAATAATTTTATTTTCTATTTTGTTTTATTTATTAATTGATATTTTTTGGACCAGTGACTCGGCAGTCGCGATCTAGATCAACAATCTACCAATTCGACATTTATCTAAGTATGTACAATCCGCTCCACCGATCCAAGTTTTGAAATACGAGACTATGGGAAAGCAAACTGCCATGGGAAATCACTTTCCTATCTAACATCTCAACAATGTATAAATATGAAAAATCAGTTTCATAACTATTATAGTATGAAATTGCTTCACATGGGTGGACCTTACAAATGACAAATCTCTCTCTTGGAGATAGATTTTTATGGAACCAAGCATACTCTCTTATTTTTACTTTTCTCCATAGAGAGATAGAGAGAGATTCCTGTCAAACCAAACGTACCCTTTATTTTTAGGGAATTTTACATTTCCTCCTTTGGACCATAGGCATAGGCCCCCAATACTTCCTCAATCACACAAATAACCCATTTATCGTATTTTTATGCAGCCAGCCCCAAGGAAGAATATAGGCTAGTTTTTGATGAATAAATGCATGTGGTCAAGAACCTTGCAGCCTTGTTTTCAAAGAAGCTTTTTTTCGGAAGGTTAGGCTTGTAAGACACTTGAGTACCAGACGAGAGTTCATTTAAAATGTTTTTTAGAGGATAAGATCGGTCTGGCACTTGGAACGTTGGATTAATTATTTTTTAAAAAGTTTGCATAAATGACGAGGCCAATTCAATACTCCATGTATCACATTGTCCTGAATTATAAAACCGAAGCTGCGTGTGGCACTTGAAGTGTAGGACCAACTTTAATTGTAGAATAAAAGGTAGCCCAACACCCCGACTTTTAATGAAAATAAGAAGAAAGAAGAGAGAGAAAGAGAATCTCCATTCAAACTGAGCTTTATACATAAACTTGCGAGTACTTCAAAATAACCAAAATTCCCGGATTATAGTACACAGTCTTCAAAAGAAAAGAAGTACAGAAAGAGGAAAAAATGAACAAAAAAGAGAGAGAGAGAGAGGAGGGCCTTCTCTTGATGTGATGAAGGCAGGTGCATGGCAATGAAAAAGGGGGATGCATGTTATGTCAGTGAGAGGGGACATGGAAGTATCTTCCTTTGCACATGCACCTGTACACAATGGGGCATGACTCTGCGATGGCGCACTTGAAGCTCACCATCACCCTTTTGCAAGGGAAACAAGCTCCACATGCATGAGAGCAATCCGGTAGGCTAGAACCTGAAGCATCTATTTCTATGCTTTCTTTCACCTTCCTTTCTTCTAATCCACTTCCCTGTATAATTCACACATGAAGACAGTATCAGTGTATTCAAGGATTTGGGTTGCGAGTAGCTACGGTCTCCTGCCCCGGAGATTACAGTTGGCACTGCCCTGGCTCGGCACTAAAACCTAGGGTCTTGCCGCAAAAAGTGGCTCGAGGGGTTGAACACCACGACTCGAGGATAGGGTCAGGTCAACAACAGCCTGACCCTTTTTTTTTTTCTTATCTTTTCCTTTTTTTTAGTTTTATTGTATTTGACCTAGCCTGGCCTAACTAGGATGGAGTTGGGTTTGGGCCGCAGCCTCTTTGGCCTTGTCCGGGCCAAACATAGGCTAGAGTTGTCCCGGCCCAAGTCTACTTGAGGTCATTTGGGGTAGGGACTTGCTAGGGTCATTCAACATGACACAAGTATCTATGTATGTATTTATTTTTAACATAATAGAACAATGTATGGATCGTATAAGGCTGAAATCTTGTTTGTAAAAATAAGATTGTAATGTTTTACACTATCTATTTCATTCCGACTGAACTAGAGAGAGGGCATACTTCTGCGAATAGTTCCGCGTTATATAAACCTTTTTCATTACAGAATAACATAAAGCATTTGTTTAAGACCTTTGTAGTCTCGGTGCCATGTCTTACATTACCAACAAAAGGGATATCTGCCAAATAAACATGGAAAACAAATGGTTAATTCCCCCCCCAAAAAAAATAAAAAAATAAAAAGATAATCCCGAAACAATTTTTGCAAAAAAAAAGGAAAAAAGCAAAAAAATAATCAATATTTACCTGCATTCTTGTGCACACTTCTTCCGGCTGAGAAAGGTAGAAGAATCGACACGATCAGAGTCATGGAAAATTTAACCATGATAAAATGCTTCATTATTTTTTCAACCCAAAATGTATTTATTTTCAAGGAAAACTCCTTTTCCTTTTTGACAAGGAAAAAAAAACCTCCTTTTATCTTTTCAAAATAAGAGAAAAACAGGGCAAGTAGCTTTGTGAGGAGAAGCAAGCCAAACATCTGTATACTCACATATATATAGAAGGAAGATTGTAAGAATGAGGGGGGCATTAAATGAAATATAAATGCTGAAAATGGGTATTAATTATTGGGGTCATGTGATCACATGAAAGACGATGACCATGTAAAGGATTCACATGAAATCACGAGAACACGTGTGGGCATTTACACACGGCAGAAAGCATTTTTAAATTTATTAATTTATTTTTAGTTAATTATTTTTAAAATTTGAAGAGAGAAGTGTTTCAATTTTTTTATTTACTTATTTTCGAAATTTGAATGGAGACCAGTTCTCATTAAATTTGAAAACCAGAAGAAGAAACAAGGCGTGAGTGAGACCTTCCTTGCATTAATGGAAGCCCATATAAATGGTTACAACCCTCGCACGTGAGTGCCCTAAATATGAAATGACAGTAATACCCTTGCAATATAGTTGAAATGAACAAAGCATCCTTCACCCATTTTTAATGTATGCCCACTAGTGAAGTTTTAGTATCTAAATAAATAAATAATAATAAAATTATGGTGGCTTTGACTTAGACTCAGGTGGGGTTGACTTAGACCCAACTTCAACCTAGTGGTCCAATCTAGGTCATCGGACCTAAACCTTGACTAGGACTCGACTAACTTGATAAGAGCCAAGATGGATCTAGACTCAAATCCTACCCACCTGGTTTAGGTTTAAGTGAAATGACTCCAATGGTCCCCCGACTTGATCAATGGGGTTCAACCTCTGGGTTCAGACCAGGACCTAGCGGGTTGGGTTGGCTAGTCAACCCAACTTGAATGCCACCCCTGGGTGAAGTACTTGGACTTGACATGTAGCTTGAATCAAAACCATCGGAAGGACACAATATGAGTAGTTTTCAATTTTTTTTTTGTAGATCGGCTGAATCTACCAGACTTGTTTTGAGACACCATACATAGAAAAATGTAGGAATTGGCAAGGATTCCAGTGCAACCCTTCATAACGTACCTGACCCGACCCGTTAACACAGAGGCGAGGATTTCAAGAAACCCCACAAATCAGACAAACTGATTGTAGGGTATTTTGGTCATTTCATAACTTAGTCTCTTTTGTCCAAAGTACACCGGTCTATGATAAGTGCTACACCACTGGGAGAGCCACCCTCCATTCGTGATGATGAATGGTCGAGATTAACTATAACTGTGATGAGTGTGTTCAGGTGAATCTCCACCAAAGTGATGTCTGTGCCTTATCTTACACCATAAGCCTATATGATACACCCTACTGTTCAGTCATGGTACTGGGTGGCATTTTGGTCACTACCCAAAATTGGGGTTGAGTAAATGAGGATGATCCAGAAGCCAACATTCTATCCAACCAGCAAGAGTAGTAACTCATTGTGGGCTTCATCATAATTCTTCAGTAAACTGCCATTCCCACCTCAGAGAGAGAGAGAGAGAGAGAGTGAGAGAGAGAGAGAGAGCGCTGTAGAGAGAGAAGGAGGCGTCTCTCTCTCGTGTCTCTAGTACGTAACACACAAGTAACTTCGTACGTTACTACTACACTATACTAATAACTACTAGTAACGAAACGAGGAACGGAAAGGGAAAGAAAACG